TGCTGCCGCAGCCGTGAGCAATGCACATACCTTCATATGTATGTATGTATGTGCATGTCAGTATACCTTCAAATAGGTACATACATACATATAACAATCCATGAATGCTACAAGTGCTTAGAGCATCTACTCCCGTCTACTCACGACTAAATCAAATGGCTCAATTACATATTTTCGATTGTGATTTAATGAATTTAAATATTTTAGAATGTTAAAGCATAATATTTGAAAATTTCAAAGATAAAATATGTTTATACTCATATACTTTTATATATTTCCATTAATCGAACAAGTTTTTTATCTACCCCAAATCCAACTCTTTGCAGGTGGTTCGGGCCCATTAGCTTTGCCATACATACACCTGGCTACGATCTGAATGCCACACTGGATGCCATTCAGTACGTGAGAAACTGTTTGCCTGGCAGCCAGCTGATCAGCGACTTTGTCAGCTTTCACGTTTACTTCTCCAATGAGCATATGCCCGAGTATGTGCCGCTCGATGAGGAGGAGGCCCTCAAATGGCCCTATCGATGCGTCGATGGGAATGGCACTCTGTTGACGCCGCCCTATCTGCAGAACCGGACGGCCATGTACAAGGTGCAGGCCAATCTGACGTATCCCATCAATGTGGGTCGGAATATTGCTCGCAACGCTGTCAATACGCATTTCATATTCGCCTGCGACATCGAGCTCTTTCCCAGCTTGGGCCTGATCGAACAGTTCTTGGACATGGTGCATCGCAACAGAAGTGTCTTGGCTCTCAGTCCGAATCAGCGGCCGAGAGTGTATCCCCTGCCGGTCTTTGAGATACCGGAGAACGAGCAAGTGCCCAACGATAAATTGGAATTGTTGGATCTCCTACAGAAGCGTCGCGCTCAGCTCTTCCATGCGAAAGTCTGCGCCAGCTGCCACAAGGTGCCCGGCTACCAGAGATGGATCAATCGAACGACGCCCGTCCCGGACGAACTGGAACTGTTCAGCATGACCCTCAGGCAAGACACGTTCCGGCACTGGGAGCCCTTCTACATCAGCGACAACAAGGAGCCGGTCTTTGACGAACGCGTCACCTGGGAGGGACAGTCGAACAAGCGCATACAGGTAAAATCTCTATGCATCTATATATCTATATATCTATATATCTATATATCTATATATCTATGTATCTATG